CTACCCAATCCTATACCCTCCTGCGACTGGGTTGGTTACTTTTCTGAGCATAAGTGTATAGCCAAAGTCATCCAAGTCAGAGTAAAGGGGCTTAATTCCTTATTTAGCCTTAAGTCAATCAACCAGGCACAAAAATTACAATATTTAGAGAAGTTAGCTCTCATTATGGGAAAATACAAATGTCAATCTTTCATCGTCTTATGCGACCCAGGGGGACTGTAAGTCGTATGAAAAGATCTTGTTTGATTTTTTCTCAAAAACACATAATTTTCCTCCTTTCTACAGTTTTCACTACACTCTTGAGAACGTCAGATGTCTAAATTTCCTGACTACCTCTTACTATCGCCAGTGATTTCCTGTCTATCTCGCCAAGGGCTCAAAGGGCTCACAAGTAGTTATTTTGTTAAATATGTTTTTGACACACATCACGTTTAGTCAGTTTAAGAAAAGTATGAGAGCACATTAGGTGTAGCAATTTGGAGTGATATAATTCCAAAGTTTCTAAAATTGAGACATTTTAAGAGAACTATTTCATGGATATTTCTTAAAAAATGCTAGCCCGCCCAATTTCGGAACTTAGTTATTGTTGAGCTTACTTCCATTTCGAGGAAAAGTGTTTGGTGAAGGGATTCGAATGCCGATTCCACCAGAAGACGACGCCGGATTCCTCTTGACCAGCTGTCGATTGGCTTTACTGAAACATTCATGGTGATATGTTTCCGAGCTAATCTCCTTCGATTCAGGTGAAAAGGTGCCAAGCTTTCGTCCGTCATACGATGGACATCATCAGAGCATGAAATCATCGTCACAACCAAATTCAAGCTAACGAGTCAATACAACTCGGAAACAGCGTCACCATGAAGGTTCGAACTAAGTTATGTCAGAGTAAAATTGTGGTTAACCAGAATTCGATTTAAGTGTTTACAAGTTTGCTCATCCTTGGAAAATTAAAGTTTGCTTCGTCGACAGTCCAAAAGGACATGTTAATTTGGAGAATCTTGGCTCTCATCAAGTTTCATGCCCTCACGGTAAACCCCTAGAGCTCATGAATATGTAGCAAAGCAGTCACGTGTTGCCACGATTCCCCCAAAAATATATTTCAAAACACGCTTGGGGTGCGAGGTTGGAATTGGATGAAAAGATTCTGGGGGCATTGCTAAGATTATTTCAATGCCATCACGAGAACTACTACTCAAATCACTGTAGAAAATTCATAGAACGTAGATTACGAGACTATCAGTAAAGCCGGAATAAGAGTTATAGTCAGCCTAGGTTGTATGGTTTAATGAAGGATTGATAGTGGGATTTTGTCCCATAATGCTATTGGTAGGCCACAAGTCTCAGCTAAATTGCACCTCGACTTGTTTTTCAAAAGGCGTTTCCATTAAGCCTGGTCTCTAGTTTATACCTTAACTGGATCTCCTCAGCTCCCTCTCCCCCGCGAGTAGGAAGCGAACCCGGATTTTGATCTGTTACGATCGCACCATAAGGACAAGATTTTGGGAAGGTCTCGAAGGCCTAGTTTCCATGCGTATAAGTAAAGCACGTGATCGAAATGGCAAAATGCAAGTTCGCCTCAGCAAAAAACCCACTATACGATATACTATGGGAGAAATTTACGTCTTCCATGTGACTTAGGGGTCGCTAACGAGTGTAGCTGGGGTAAAAATACCTTGTGGGAAACAGAGCTAAGTACAATTCAATGAAAGCATCTCATTGTACAAAATCTTTTTCCTTTATTCAACCTTGGGTAATTAGAACTCTTATTCCTTGTAGGAAACACTCCCAGAGAAGGGACTCATTCTTATCTTATAAGTACTGCTCGTTTTGAAGCATACTACTTCTACTTATAAGAGTAGTGTAGACTTTCTTTACCGCCTTATTTTGGTACAACCGACCTTCAAGACGGACTTCCATTTTGAATTCGCTTTGGCGCATGTGCCTACACAATTGAAGCAACCATTCGGTAGTGGCTAATTCGAGTCCAGTAGAAAATTGGAGCTCTTCTGGAGGCAGGACAGAAATGCTGGTGGGTCAAATTGCCGAGTGAAAAGGGCTTTTAAAGTAGAATGGGCTCCTATTTAACCTACGACTCAATTATGCAGTGACCCAACTTCGCTGTTATCTACTCCATCGGCGTAGTTATGGCTCTGAATTGAGCCTCCATCCTTTCTGTCACATATTTCGTTTTCTAAACACATTATGCCACTCAATGCCAAGGACCGTTTCCGGCGTATTGCCTCTTTATATATAACATCCTACAAACACAAACACACGCATGCTGAATATCTTATCTGGCCAACCGGAAGAATTAATGCAATAGAGGGTAATACCTGACATTGACCTCGCTCAATTTAATCTCTTCTCTCCCCTCCTTCGCTATTGTCTCTCATAATCCCACCAGTCACAGCCCTTGCCTTAACCTTCGATACACTCCCAACAAAATACAGTTGCAGTTTAGTATCCGAGCCAACTGTGAAAGTAGATGCATGGTAGGTCGTAATAGAGGTATGGATGACATCTAAAGGAATTGCATCAGCGTATATCATAATAACATGCTGTATAATGCTTCTGACAGTATCGAAGCTACAAAAACCCTATTTAAGAGTAATAATAAAAGTCAAACAATTAAGCAATATCAATTACCTCATCGCCGACGTCGCCCTTAGCCACACTGCCAATGAATTCAGTCAAAAAACAATCCAATTCGCCGTCCTCTATGTAGCCATTGCCTATAATGAAATAAAGCAGGATTCAATAATTCTGAATAAAATAAAAATTTGGAATTATTTCATCAAAGAAGGATTCTCCTTTAAAATAAAATCATCCTCGGTGCAACTTGAAAGCTGAAAATATTTTCACGAAATTTCTTCTCTTTGCCAGTTTACACTTACGTTGGTGGCAGGAGTGATGACTTCAGCGCATGCAAACCCTACTTGGTGATGGTGAGTGAGCCTCAAGCATATCGGTTCATCCTGCTTGTCAACGAGAGATGTTGGCGTTTTGAGACTTGTAGATTTTCGTTCTTGAGTTGTTCGCCAATGAATGTGAGGCGAGTATAAAAG